GTAAAGTATGGACCAAAAATATTACATGAGATATTGTTTCAATTATTTAGCAAATGCTTAAAAGGACACAATATCCCTGATGATTGGAATATTGGATACATCAGCTCAATATTCAAGAAAGGGGATAAACGCAAATGCTCTAATTATAGGGCAATGACTGTTATCAGCTCAGTGGGGAGGTTGTACGGTCGAATAATAAAAGAAAGAATATAATCAGAATACGAAGACATAGAAGAACAAAATTGTGTACGTGTCGAATACGTGCAGGAAGATCGTGCACTGATGGTATATTCGAAAAATGGATGGCGAGGAATCTATCTGCCTACCCATTGTTTGTAGATTTAGAGAAGGCATACGATACGGTACCTTTGAAAAAAACTGTTTCAAACATTGACGAAAGTAGGTCTCACGACGTAGGACGTACGTCGACGACGTATGGGTCATACGTCGCCATGTTACCAAATCTACTGGTAACTTTAACATCCTAATAATTAATAACGCATAATGTAAACTAAATTTAAATAAACAATTTTTAACGGGTTTTTATCTACATATTTAGTGGCTACATACATGAATACCTAGACACTGATGATGGAATATGGATTCCGAAAACGTTTGTTTTGTGATACAGCCCGATTGGGTTTTTAAATTATATACCTTTTAAAAGGATTTAAAAAAAATTTATATATGGTATACAGCCAACTTCTTCTTCTTCTTCAGATGCAAATCCACTAATGGATGTTAGCGATCACATTTTCCATTAACTCTCTATTTCTTGCAATATATATCAGAGATTGTATGTCGTTAATCCCTGTCCATTGCCTTATGTTTCGGAGCCAGGACATTTTCTTGCGTCCCATTCCTCTCTTGCCTTCAATTTTACCCTCGATTATAAGTTGGAGGAACTGGTATTTTTCATTTCGCATGATGTGACCTAGATACGCCGTTTTCCTTTTCTTGATGGTTTCGAAAAGATGGCGTTCTTGGTTTATTCTTTTAAGGACATCTATATTTGTGATTTTCGCTGTCCATGGTATTTTTAGGATACGGCGATAAAGCCACATTTCGAAAGCTTCCAATCTGTTTATATCCCTCGTTTTGAGTGTCCAGCCCTCTACGCCATATAGCAGCACTGACCATACGTAGCACTTAGTAAACCTTAGTCTCAGTTGAAGATCGAACTCAGAACAAGTCAGTACCTTCTTGAATTTTACGAAAGCTTGTCGAGCTTGCTCAATGCGACATTTTACTTCCCTGTCCGATGCCCAGTCTTCAAAAAGCCACGATCCCAGGTATTTAAATTTACTCACTCTTTCTATGGATTTACTATTCAGTGTTATATGGTGGAGTTTTCAAATGCATCCAAGTTTCTGGAGATGATCATGAATTTGGTCTTTTTGGTATTAATCTCTAGTCCCATTCGCTCACTGTATTCTCCGATTATAGTGACAAGTTGTTGAAGATCGACTATGTTGTCACAAATTAAGACACCATCATCAGCATATCTTATGTTGTTGATCAATACTCCATTCACCTTGATTCCCATCTCTGCATCCTCCAAAGACTCTTGAAATATGGCTTCTGAATAAATGTTAAATAAAAGAGGGGAAAGCACACATCCCTGTCGAACGCCTCTTCTTATATGTATGGGCTTAGATATAGAATTGTCTATTTTTAGCTGTGCCGTTTGATGCCAGTACAAGTTTTCAATGCATCTTATGTCTTTTTGGTCTATATCAACTTTCTTGAGAATCTGCATTAACTTGTGGTGTTGGACACGATCAAACGCTTTTTTGTAATCTAAAAAGCATAGGAACACATCCTTCCTCTGATCGTAACAATTTTGGACCAGTACCTGTGTTGCTACTATTGCTTCTCGTGTTCCTAAACCTTGCCTAAACCCGAACTGTGAATCACTGATGTCCCATTCACATTTTTTGTATAATCTTTGATGTAGTATTTTTAAGAATATCTTTAAAGTGTGACTCATCAGGCTAATGAGTCTGTGATCCTCACATCTTTTTGCATTGACTTTCTTGGGCAGGGGAATAAAGGTAGAGCGTAATCACTGTTGAGGATAGCAGCCAGTTTCATAAATTAAATTAAATATTTTGTGTAGTGCCGAAATTCCCCTTTCATCTAGTAATTTGAGTATTTCTGACGGGATCTCATCTGGTCCAGGTGCCTTATTGTTTTTTGAATTTAATATTGCTTTTTCTATCTCCTCTTTGGTGATTGAAGGGCCAGTCAGCTGGTCGTCTGTATAAACTTCACTCATGGGTCTTTCGTCATGGAAGAGCTCCTGAATATAATTTTTCCATATATCAATTTTCTCCTTTTCACCCAGCACTATCTGGTTATCCTGATTAACTATGGTAGTTGGTCTTCGTTTTCTGTATATTCCAGCAGTCTCCTTAAGCTGTTTATGTAAATTACGGTCGTCGTGTTGTCTTTGTAAATGTTCTAGATCGATACATTGTTGCTTAAGCCATTCATTTTTTGCTATTCTTATTTTTGCTTTTATTTGCCTGTTAATGTTTTCATACATATTGCTGCCATCTTGGTTATTCTTGTGCCAACACAGCCAACTACAGGAACTGAATACAATTTGGTCAACTATATAAACTGTTGGTTTTTCATTACGTTTCGAAATTGCCAGTAACTCTGATTGGAAGGCGTATTCCGGAAAATTGATATTATTTTTAACTAACCAATTTTTTATGCTCGATACATTTCACGACTATTTTGATTGTTTCTTCAAAATCCGCGAATGGTAAGGTGCATTATCTAAAACTATAATCGATGGTTCATACAGACTAGGTAACAGTTTCCCCTCAAGCCATTTTACAAACATCTGCATTCATGTTTTCATGGTAATCAGCAGATTTTGATTTTGAAGAAAAAATCAAATCTGCATTTTCTATATAACCTCCTTTCCCTCTTACATGAAGAATGATGTTTCTTTTGCCTTCGCTATATGTGTGTTTTATTAATTTTATGCTGTCGTCGTGCCAATTTTTTTAAATCTTCTTCTTCTTCAAGTGCCATCTTCGTTCCGAAGGTTGGCGATCATCAGGGCTATAAGTATTTTCGAAACTGCTGACCGAAACAATTCGTTGTTGCTACAGCTGTACCATTTCCGTATATTCTTTAGCCAGGAGTTTCGTCTTCTTCCTATGGACCTTTTTCCTGCTATTTTCCCTTGCATAATTATTCGAAGCAGTTCATATCTTTCGCTACGCTCGCTTTTAATTCTACCCTTTGCAAATATCCATGTCTTATCTAAGTATACATATGTTTATTTTCACATTCAAGTCTAGTATATTCTCTCAAATATTTAATTCTTTTGTGAACCACACTACTCTTTTCGCATAAAAGTAACCTATTATTTTCTTTTTTTGAATTTAAATGCTAAATCTCTCAACACTTTCCAAAGGCTAGTCCTCTTAATTTCAGAAACTTGTCTTTCTCTTATTTTGGCCAGTAAAATTTTGATTGTTTTCACGCATTCGATACAAAATATTGCGAATTTAAAATTTTTCTCCATCAGATAAGTTAATGCTCCTAGAATGTTTGAGTTGTTTTCTTGTCTTCGTGATATACTAAGTCACAGTAAGATCTTCTTGAGAATCTTTGACAGTCTTCATTAATTACAGTTTTTAGCTAACTTTTACTTAACCCGGTGCGTCACAAACGCGTTGATTTATACATAATAATGACTTTAAAGGTCCACTATTGTCTCTTTCCATGGTAAAGTATTTATACGCATTTGCAATTAATTCAACAATATCCAAAAGTGTAGAAAATGGTTGGAAACCGTACATAAACAAATTAAAATGTTTCCAGCGATTATTTTATTTTTAGTACTGAAGTATTTTCATTTTAAAATAAAAAGTTAAATATATTTACCAAAACCCTGATTTTAACCCGTAATCGCAGACGTCTCAAAAACGGTACACTCTAACAGACGTATGGTCAATCTAACCACCACTATTTAAATTGATAAAATGTTCTAGTTTTTTTAACAAAAGTATTTTTTAACAAAAATTAAAAGTGATATTTAAGTACTTTGTGTATCTACTTTAAATACAAATTATCCTTAGCACGGTGGTATCTGTTTCAGAAAAAAATTATTAAACAAGTAGGTGAATGAAATTTACGTTAAATAATATTATGCAAGAATACTATTTAGTAGAAAATGTAACAAAATATGCAAACTATGAACAACGAGTTAATGACACATATATATTTATTTTATACCTAAAATAGCAAATTGGCTGGCAACACCATTGCAGTTAAAAGGGGCTTTTATTACAACGAAAGGTTTTCTGCGAATTCCATTAATCGTTTAGAGGTGAAGTTGGTTGAATGTACTGCAGAAAAAGCGACTTAAATATAACAACAAATTTTTACTGAATAAAGCATAAATTGTAATAGACAACGAACCCAGTTTAGAAATTGAAATCATGAGAGGAGTTAGCCAGGGATGTATTATGTCTCCATTACTATTCAATGTACCTAGGTATATGGTGAATACATTTTTGAAGAAGCATTGCTATCTGAAAGTGAAGAATAATAATTAACCGAAGAAATATTAACAACATAACATATGCAGATGTCACCGTGATTATGGCAAGCTCTTCTGAATATGTCCAATCACTACGAAAAAAGGCAAGCAGTTCCTGTGAAAAATATGGATTAAAAATGAATATAGAAAAGACTAAATATATGATAATAAAAAAAACAAATATACCATCAAACATACATTTGGGAGATATTATAAATATGCTCAATATAATCATAAGATATGTCAATATGTAAATTAAATATTGTTTATTCCTCTTAATAATAACTTTTGAAAGACCCTGTATTTGAAATCCAAATTTCTGGAGTCGTTTGCGAATCGATGTATAGAGGTCGCCTTTAAAAACAGTGAGTACCAAATTAAACTTTTTGACAACGCATCAAGCGAGAAATCGCATTTGACAATGACATTTGTTGACTTATAAATGTTTTTGTACTTTATCTGAACTAAAATAAATAAAAGAAAAATAATGAGCTACAGCACAGACAAACACGACATACCACCAACAAAGGAAGACTGGTTGATGATACTAGAGGACAACGATCTCGGCCGCAGTAGCATGAACAAACTTATCATGAATTATCTAGTCACAGGTAAAATTTTATATTTCTTTCAGCAAACAGAATGTTTAGGAGAGGTTTTTGGGTCAAAAAACGATCCCATGGTTCTAAATCTAGTAAGTGATTGTAAATTAGGCAAACATAACAAGAAAATAGTGTAGTAAATATTTTTAATATCTAATATATTTTTAGAGGGGTTCAAGGAAGCCGCAGAGAAGTTTCAACAGGAGTCTGGAGTTATACCGTCTGTGGAACTTCATTCTCTAGATGACAGGATTAGGATTAGAGACGCCATTATGACTGGGAAGATTCAGGAAGCTACAGCTTTAATAAATCAATTGCATCCAGAGTTATTGGATAATGATAGATATCTTTATTTTCATTTACAAGTAAGCTTACATTGTCATAACTCAACTATTATACAGGTGTTTTAAGTCAAATTTTATACTTTTTTTTATACAGTTCTTTGTCAACATATGCTCCCAAACTTTTTAGATTTCGTAGCTACAATTGTGTTGTGTGGTTAAATATTAAAGTAGTATCATCTGCTTGTATTTGTTCTAATCTACACTCATTGTCAATGTGGTCCCTGTTCTTAAAACAATATATGGTGCAGATATCATCCACATATAATTATTAAAATCAACATTGTACAATTGATAGATGCTAATAGGACTTATCATTGGTAGATAATCAATTCTAGTGGAATACTACATTCTTTATTAGTAGGTTCACTATGGTTGAAGTTTCTAACAATTTTCAATAGAGAAGACAAGAGAGAGATACCTAGCAACTTATAATGCATTAGGAATAGAGCCAGTAGCAAATATTAAGTTAACTATCTGATGATATTTGTTAATAATGTATGTGAGTAGGCTTATTCTTCTTCTTACGCCCTATCAAGTCCCCTTGACGTTGGCGATTAACATGGCGAAACTGTCTCTGTCTCGAGCTATTCTAAAGAGTTAGAGTAGGCTTATAATAATATAATTTTCTATCCCCTTTAGATTCTCAGCTGTTATTATTATTATCTTTTCAACTTCATTTTCTGTGATTGGTAGAAACTCAATGGCATTTCATAAGTGAGTTTGTGGAAATTTTTGTTTGATTTTTCTATTCTGTCTGCTGGAGTTTCTCCATTAGTTAAGAAATATTCAACAAATATATTAGCCATATCTTTCGGGTTAGAGGTGATTTTTTTGTCTCAGTTATATTCTAGTATTTAAACTATCATTCTGTAAAGTTGCAGTCTTCAAGAGCTAGTTTCAGTGAATTATTAAAGACAAGTGATGTTTTATAGGTTCAAAGATTGTGTAAATAATACCAACACAGTATTGACTTTTTCTCCTACTCCAATAAACTTTACAACAAATTAGGTTATGTATATTTGTATTATATACTATTGCTTAGAATTGACTAAAATTTCTAATGCATAGTCGACTCTAATTACATTTTTCAATGGTTTGATACTAAAAAGTATATATTTTATGTAGCTGGTTAATGTCTTTTCCTTTTTAGCAACTACATCTCATAGAATTAATTAGAAATAATAGAATAGAAGAGGCACTCGCCTTTGCCCAAAGTCATCTCAGTGAAGCTGGTGAAGAAGATCCATCTGTACTATCAGAATTAGAAAGAACCGTAGCTCTTTTAGCATTTGAAGAACCCCTTTCATCTCCGTTTGGGGATTTGTTAGCTCCATCACACAGACAGAAGGTAATAAAAATATTTTAAATTTTTTTGTGTAAGTTATTTTGGTTTTTTAATGTTTTTATTATTTTTTTAATTTACAAGCTACGTCAGGTAAGTAAACAAAGAATAATAAGTGCATAATTTGAAGGTAGAAACGTCTTTGAGATAAAATTGTTCGATAACAGTCTAATGTAAATCTATTTGCTAATTTTTCTGTAATCTTCACTCTGTATATTTCTTATCCTTTTTGACTGATTTAAGTAATAACAAAATATTGCGTTTTGAGTTGCTTTTGCTCCTGTACTAAGCATTTTAAGGAAGTGACATGCAAAGAAATATAATCAGGGATGCTGACTCTACATATCAATGGAGACACAGTGGGAATTATTTTAAGAATTTTTTTAAGCTCTTCGAACCTTGGGATATAATATTAAAACTAGTAAACATTTTGGTAAACCATTTTTGAACCTCAGAAGCCAAGTAGAGATAGTGCAAACACTCTTGACCAAGGCGCAGTAGACGAAACTCACTGTATTATGCAATGTGAAAGGTAGAATGTTTCAGTCTGGTTAGTATAATTCCACTTACAATAGAACCTTTCTGCCTTTACATGAATTTTGACTGCGCCTTCGCGCAGCTCCATGGTCAGAAGTGTTTGCACCATCTTTTTTTTTCTAACTAAATAACAAAAAAAAAGATATCTGAAGTTTTTTTAGATTAGGAAAATGGCCTTGGTGGAGCCAATTGGCCAGTTAACTGAAATTAAAGTTTAAAAAAGTATGATTACAACAAACTTATATTTAAAAAACAATTCATATTTAAAGTTATTTTTATTCACGGTTTTGTTTAAATTAAATTATATATAGTGTTGTATGATGCACTTGGATCCCTCTCAATGAAGCAGTTGGTGTAGGCGCATTCCAAGGATTAGCATCACCTGTCAAAATATCCTCCTGTATCCCTTTGTCACTTAATAGAACAGAATTTTGTATTATCTACTTCTGCATTTGACTCTTTTCAATCAAAAATGTCACTTTGACTCCTTGGCTTCTGGATTCAATATATCCTACAGATTAATAATTTGAAGTGTCTATATTGCTTGTGTTACAGGTTGCCAGTGAAGTGAATGCCGCTATTTTAAAAATGGAACATCAGGAAAATACCGCACCACAGGTTTCTACCCTTCTTAAACTCATTTTGTGGGGACAGGATAAGTTAACAAAGAGGAATGTCAAGTATCCAAAAATGGTAGATCTAGCTTCAGCAAAAATTGAAGATCACAAATAAATGAAATTTTAATTATATATTTTATGGATGGTGTGTCAATGAATATTTTAACAAAGAATCTTTTAAATATTGTATATAGGTAGAATTTTTTGCTCCATTCGTCCAACATAAGTATTCAATTTCTATTTTTATTTCCTGTTCTTGAATAAGCGTCCGATGTATTTGAAATTTATATATAAATATTACTTATGACAAACTTTTAGGTGACATTTGTATCATCTTCATCATTTTCTTTTATTTGATTCATTATATAGGTTATGTTTTCTGCCATACACTGCTGGTGAGGCAGAAAAACTTGTAACCCAACATTAAAAAACAACTCTGAGTAAAAAACTACAAAACTTTTTGACTGTGAAAGATATATCCATAAAAAATTGTCAAAAACTTTTAAAATGAAATCTGCCGTTACTTAATTATTTACAAACATTAAAATCAGTAATATTTTCAGTTTTTGGGACTCTAGATCGCTGCATATAACATTAATTGAGTAATTTCTTTCATACTATGTAGTTAATAAAAATTCTATATTAAACGGTTAAAACAATTTAAACAGTTTTGAACCTATTTTCGAAAGCCTAGTGCAAGATCCATTTTTTCCAAAAATTAGCTAGTTTTTTAATGATTTTTCGTGTCATTAAGAAATGTAGACTTTCCAGGTCAGTTTATTGTGTTCCAACATTTCGTCTATTGTTGCAACAGGTTGGCAAGTGGCTTATGACTTCTCCAGTTTCATTATATTCGTCTATGTTTCAGATTTTGATGATTGATATGTTTTGTATTGAAAAATTATGACATTTGATTCATTTCTTCTTGACTTTTTTTCTCACAATTAAAGGTAACCATTTTTCTGAATTTCTAGTTGCTCCAGTAGATCAATTTTACTGTTTATTTGTAGGCTTCGTCAAGTCCTGCCCTTTGGCGCTATGGCCTTATCAAACCATGGTATTTTACACTATCTTCTTTTAATCCTCATTGTTTTGAGTTTATCACTGTCACATCAAGCTGCTTGAGGTAATTATCTATGTCAACTAGCCATCTTTACATATATGACTTTACAGATTTTTTGTTCTTCTTGCTTTAGGCATTTGCTGTAGGTTACCAAGCCATCTTGATCTATTACTTTTGATTTCTTTTGAAATATTGGATTACCATACTGTTCTCAGTATGCCAAGTAAGTTCTGAGTCCTCTAACCGATCCAAAACATATATTGCTTTAGCCCAGTTAGAGTTACTAATGGGGGAAAGTTAGGGTTACTGTGGGGTAGGCTGTTATTTAGAATTTTAATTACCCATTTTCTATTCTTTTATATTATTACTTAAAAATAATTAATACAGATTATTGATAATTTGTACAGATTATGTAAAACCTAAAAAATGACAATTTCGTTTTTAAATATTGTCTATAAGTTGGTAATTCTCTTAATAAAACTTGTGAAACCTCACAGTTTTAGCGGTACATGTCAATATTTCCTGTGCTCATGTGAAAAGCGAATTTAATTCCTCAGTTTCTTACTTAAATCTGCAAATTATTTCGAAAAGCGTTTAAGTATTTCAAGATTTTACAGACTTTATAAACATATAAGCAGAATATACAGAGAGTATCGATAATACATTGAGTTTTGTTACATACTTATTGCAATAGAATGTCCAGATTCTAAAATTTATAACAACACACTAATTGAAGAGTTATTTTATTGATACATCATCCAATGTTATTTATTTAGATGGGGATAATAATATATAATATTTGACTCTTTTCTAATGTATGTAGTTAAAATATGTGTAACAAAAATTTGTAAAAAATTTGTGACTTTTAGACTGTGAACTTTTATACTTTTAGCGGTATATTGTAGTTAAGTTGAATATATTTTTTTTTCTATGCAATTTGTATTTTATTTAACATTATTCAGATGTGTTTATAGTAAATACCACATTTGTGGAAGTGTTAAACAATAAATTAAGAAGAAAGCATGAACGATGAAAATCAAGGTATTTTTTTTATTTAAAATTAATGTGTTCGGCTACTAAGGCCATTTACACAAGGACGATTATAAAGCAAAAAATTTTACAATAAATATTATGCTATAGTTGGGGCCAACTATCTATCGTCCGTCGGCAAATTCAAACAAAAATATAACTTGCAGACCATTGTTTACCACCTTTAGTCAGGACAAATTAATATATGTATTTATTATATTTTTTACCACCAAAAATGAGATGTTTTAACCAAATAATGCTTCAAATATAATGTGCAGAATAATTTTGAATTACTTCGAACTTGCTTTTTTGTCTTTAAAAGTGTCTTTCAATTATGTATGTATGTACATCGTTAACAGGCCTTTTAGGTCCATTGCTGGATGGATAATTTCCATCGTTTTCTATTCTTAGCTAACCGCTTCCAATCTCTGATGCCGATCTCTCTGACATCTTCCATCACTATATCTCTCCATTTCTTTCTTTGTCTGTCTACCAATGCAGATCGATTGATTTGTTTAGAGCAGCAAGTTCTAAAATAAAAATAGCCATTATGATTGCCAACCTCCGTAGGGAGACGGCACTCTAAGAAGAAGATATTTTGGGAAAAGATAAGTTGGTAATGGTCTTGAATCTTTTGGACGATAGAATGATCAGTGAATACATTTTGGATAGATTGGATTGAGGCTAGAGAGTATGTGCATATAGCAACTTGCTTATTTGTTGGTGAAATGTATTTGATATCTTGAAGTATACTGTATAATTGTCCAGTATGAACGGCCTAGAACAGCCTAGTCCTGCTATAAACAACATTAAGGAGGTAAAAGCCGCAGGACCAGACGAGTTCTACTCAGAATTTTTGAAAATTATGGATAAAGACGAAGTAAAAAGACTTACCTTGATCTTCAACAACATATACCAAAGTGAAAAAATACCCCAACAGTGGCTAAGATCAACTTTTATAACAATCCCTAAAAAACCTAATGCCGAAAAATGTGAAGATTATCGAATAATAAGCCATCATCATCATCATCTTTGGCTCGACAATCCTCTGTGGATCTTGGCCTGCTCTAAGATTCGTCGCCACTCTGTTCGGTTTTTGGCAACATGTTGCCATCTTCTGATTTTTAATATTCGTAAGTCGGTTTCTACTCCATCTAACCACCTAATTCGCGGCCGGCCTTTGCTTCTTTTTCCTACAGGTATTCCTGTGGTTAGCTTTTTAGCAATGGTACTTTCTGGCATTCGTATTATGTGTCCAGCCCATCTAAGTCGCTGTGTTTTAATGAGCGTTATGACATCTGGCTCATCAAAGAGCTGATACAATTCAAAATTATATCTTCTGCGCCACTGCCCTTGGTCGTTTACAGCTCCAAATATTTTGCGGAATATTTTACGCTCAAATATTCCCAAAAGTCTTTCATCTTTCTGCGTTAGAGTCCATGTTTCTGCTCCATATGTGAGGACCGGCCTCAGCAATGTTTTGTATATAATAATTTTAGTTTTTCTTTGAATGTTTCTTGAGTAGAAATGTTTGTAAGATTTATTCGTCTTTTGATTTCTTCGCTTGTTTTATTGGTAGCAGTCAATAGCGACCCAAATGTATGTGAAGTTGTTAACACGTCCAAAGGTATGACTTCCAAAGACTGTTTCTCGTTCCTCATTTGCTATCGAATCTTTGGAACCAACATGTACTTGGTTTTGTCTTCGTTGATGACTAGACCGACCTGTTTCGCCGCTGTTTCCAATTCTAGGAGATATTGCTCAACATCTCGCTTGCTACGCCCTACTATGTCAATGTCATCAGCATATGCTAAGACTTGTATCGATCTATTGTAAATAGTACCGCCATCCCTAATTCGTGTATCTCGGACTGCCTTTTCTAAGGCAATATTAAATAGGAGGCAAGCCAGATCATCTCCTTGTCTGAGTCCATCCTTTATCTCAAAGGATCTAGAACTCTCTCCCTGTATTCTAACAGTGGCTTCTAAGTTAGACATTGTCATTCTCGTTAGTCGGATAAGTTTCTCTGGTATACCAAACTCATGCATTGATTGGTATAGCACTGTTCTCTTGACACTGTCGTATGCGGCCTTGAAGTCGACGAATAGGTGATGGGTTTCAATATTGAATTCTAATGTTTTCTCGAGAATCTGTCTTATTGAATGAATCTGGTCAATTGTTGATAGTTCTGGAGTGAATCCAACTTGATATTTACCAATTATGGCCACTGTGTAAACTTGCAACCTTTCGTAGAGAATATTTGCTAGTATTTTGTAAGCAGTTGTTAACAGGGTTATACCTCTATAGTTATAATACCGGAGCTGGTCACCCTTTTTATGTTACGGGCATATCACGCCCTGAGACCATTCACAAGGCATGGTCTCATTATGCCAAACAAGAAGTAAAAGCTTTATGCAGTGTCTGTAGTAGGGCATCGCCACCATTCTTGTAGAGCTCACTGCAAATTTGATCAACTCCTGGTGATTTATTATTTTTAAGCTTTTTAATGGCTTGGGCAACGTTTTCGATGGTAGGTGGTCTTTCGTTTGGGTTGAAAGGATTCCAATCATTTCGATTTGCTAGGGTGTTATCTGCTTCTTCGATATGATGGCCATTAAATTTTGCATAGAAAAATTCAACCCATCTGTTTAGGATTGAGGCTGTATCATTTAGGATGTTTACTTCTACATCTTTAGAGCTCCTTATTCTTGGCTTAAACTCTTTGCGCATTTTGTTTAGATTTCTGTAGAACTTTCGAGTTTCATTTTGATTTCTTAGCCATTCTGTGCTTTCCAACTGCTTTTGCTCAAATTGTCTTTTTTTTTCTATGTAATCGTTTTTCTTCTCTTCTTAGTGTCCGGTATTCTTCCTTTGCTCTTCTTGTGCATCCAGCTTGATTTGTCTTTAGGTATGCCCTGTTTTTGTTATCTGTTGCTTCTTGGCACTCCTTGTCAAACCATTCGTTTTCTTTAACTGGTTTGGTTTCTGAGCCATCAACTTTTTTAAAAATTATACATAACAGAATATATAAAAATGTGAAGAACACATGACAAACACACAATTCTACTTCAGGGATGTATTGGGTACTCGAGAGCCACTTTTTGTAATACAAGTTCTCTTTCAAAGATGCAGAGATGTGAATTGTGATATATATGTGTATTTTGTTGATTACTAGAAAACATTCGATAGAATAAAACATGAACTGATAAAAATATTATTATCTGATGAGCCTCTATACTCTTGGTATGTGCCCCAGCCCAGCCCTAAGAAGTAAAGGTATCTTCCAACTATAACAGTTAAATAAAAACAATATCCTTAATATATTTTTTCTAATTAGAGCTCCAAGTATCATATGAATTGTTTTTTAAAAGCTTCTCTTTCATAGTATCTGATTTAATTCCTTTTCATCAATATTTGTTTTCAGTGTTTCATAGATGAGCAAAGATATGCACTTTTGGAATAAAAAACATATAAAAAATATATCAATTTATTACAAATACATAGTTGAAAATGGTATAATAAAACTGCAAAAAAAAATTAAAAAGTAAAATGTAACAATACCAGAAACAAGACTTTTCTTAACAAAACTTATACTGATGATTATAATATACTCTGACGATTTATAAAACAATTAAGCAATGAATGAGTTTTTCACAGCAATTGATTAACCATGATGTTAATCCATCAAATGTAAATTCTATGGTAATATTATTTTGACAAATAATTGGCACTCAAAGAACATTATAACAAAATATTGTGTTCCTCCTTCAACCTTCAAATGCCTAGACAAATACAAATTTTAATGTAAGTTGCAAACTGTTTATCATCTATTATACATTCTAGAAAAAACAACATAGAAATTTTATCTTAATATTTGTTTATTTATGCCTTTTTCTTATGAGACACCATTTATAACTTTCTTTAATGTACTACACAGACGTTTCTTGTGGATGTATTATTCTAACTATGGTATACATGTTATACCTTGAAATAATGATAGTTTGTATGTAGAGTTCATATGTTCCGAAATTCTGAAGAGTTAAGATTATAACTAATATTAACACTATCACCACCAATATTTTAAATTTTTTCATCATTCACCAAAACTATATTATTTTGTTAATGTGAAACGCTGTAAGTGTACATTATTGTTAGATGTTTGCCAATACAGAGTGCACGTTAATGTTACACTTGGTGGCGAGAGTGTGAATACTTAATAATAAATTCCAATAGCTGACTTTCTTGATGCAATGGAAGTTCATGAAAAAATAATAACTTTTAATAAGATATTTAAGTTAGTGTTTTATTTCACATTGTAATTGTTATTTCTATTTATTATTAAAAAACTTGTAATTTTCGAAGTTGTCTAATGTGTCTTTATTCAATATTAATACAATTTAAGCACCAGACAGAATAACAAAAGTTACTTGTCCAAGTTTATAAATAAAGATACATACTTCATAACTAATCTAACAAACCAAAAATTTATATAAAAAATATTGTACCAGTTCTAAATCATTTCAGGTTAACTTATAGGTTATGAGATTCCCAAAAAGGGTAATTTAAAAAGATTGAATTTAGGATTGATCAGAGTTTGACAAATATCACAAAATTTACTTTATTGTTACATTCTAAAAACAATTTGAAAAACATTAATAACATAAACTAATACTTCAAACATTGTCTTAAGTCTTTAATTCTATCAAACATACATTTACCACCCAAACACATATTCCATAGCTTTTGTAACAATTCCTGTAGACTTTTGAGGTAAAGCCTGAGGTGAAATAACAGAATTTTGGGAGCTAGGTGAAATAAATGAATGTCTCAATGATCTAACTCTCATAGGAGATGCATACATGGAACTGTCATTTTCTTTGTTTTCTTTATGGTGATATGGAGTCACTCCGATCATGATACTGTTATTAATCAGTTTACAATTTAGAGACAGTGCTCTAGATACTTCCGTTATATGATTAAACTTGACATGAACCCAATTGCCTTGAGGTGGTACCTTTTTCTCTGCTATAGGACCACAATTGGATAATTGAGCTAATATTAAATTTAAAGCACTAGGAGGGAAGCCAAAAACAGTTACCCAGTGTGTGTCTATACGATCTCCTGCATTAAAGGAACTTCTATTTGGTGTTCGTGACATGGACTCATTGTAGCTGGCCATTCTAAAGCTGGTATGGTCTTCGTGTATCCCAGATATACTATCATTAAAAGTAATGGAGTCATTAACTGGACCTACCGTACTACTTAGGATCGGACTGCCTTTTTTCTTTTGTTCTAAACTATCAAACAGTCCCAACTTGGGAGGTCCCCCTTTTTCAGGTGCCGCTGAGTATGGAGACATGGGACCTGAACTTTCGTTAAGCTGATGACTAAACAACTTTTGACGGAAGCCATTTGGTTCGTTTGCAGGTGTTTTACCACCAGTACCAGGAGTTTTATTCCTTCCAGGTGAAATACTAGGATTACCCGATGGGATTTGATTATCACCTCCTATTAGAAACCCGGGTAAAAAATTGCGGTTGGCAGCAGGAGATGCAGGACTCGAAGGGGCACTTCCTAACGTCATGGGCTCCATTTAATAACAAGTGTAAGCAATTTATAGACAGTTAAATACTGATTATCACCTTTAATCACGTTTTCAAATATTTTCTAAAACAATAACGGCTATGATTATGTCAAAGAGACATTGAAGTTGAAGTTTGAAGCAGAGAGTTTGAAGTGTCAAACGACAAAGTCATCTATCCAAGTAGAGGGAGTAACAAGATTATCTACGGACAAGAAAAAAATAATTATCAACAATAAAACACTTAATACAATATCGAATATAATTATATCAATGAATTGTTTGTATTATATCCATATCGGGTGACTTATAGTAAGAATGTATTCAATTATAGTAAAAGTTGAACAACGCGCCAGAAGTTAGGCTACTAACACTTATATATTTGTTCAGAAACTTTTCACTTGTATTTCGCTTTTAATATTTAAATAATAATAGCCTGCGCTACAATAATATGTTCTGTAAAACAAATATTGTATAACTGTTATTTAAATATAATTTTTAAATTCAAACCAATTTTCTTAATTTGCTATCTTGGAAACAGAAGTTAATTTAAATTAATTAAATAAAACTAGAAATATAATATTTATATCCCTCTTGTGTTAAAAGAGCATTCAATATACAAAAGAATAACTTAACAAAAGGAAAGCCATATTAAGCTTTATAATGTTATTCAATTATTAATTATAAATTAGTTTTTTACGACATACTCTGATTTAAAATATTTATAACATTATAGATTTTTTTTATAAATATATACTAGTATAAAATTAATGTTTTACCTACTTATGATGCAGTAATTATTCAATGATATAATAGTGTCGTTTTAATACTTTTTTAACTTTTATGGGAAACAGCTAAAAAATTCAATTTTCAAAATTTTGTTGATCACCCTGTAAGTTAAATATTTATTTTCTTAATTCCGTCAAACGTGGTCAAACACAGGCAACTTATATTGCAAGTGCGGCAGATCCTTAGTATTTATATTATTCAAATATATTTTTAAATGAAATGATTATTATTGATAAATATGGAAAATCTAAACTTTAACTTTTAAGTACAGTATTCCATGCACATCCAAATTTTTAAATAAATCGATTTGCGCAGTAGTGTGACAGTAGGAAATTTCAGTCCGTCCAAATGCAGTACAAAATTGTCAGTTCCTCACAAAATGGCGCTACCGAGGGTGCTATGTCGCGCTCGTCTTCTCTTAAATAACGATATTTTCGTGGTTTCCAAATATTGTTCTTTAGTAAAAACTGTTTCAATAAATAAAGTAAGTACACCTTTATCAAATTGCGTTAATTATATAAAATTTACCGCTGTCTATGCGAATGTATAGCCGAATATCGTGACCACATTATCGGGTCCTATGGGATAGACACCTGTTTTTTAAACCAGTGACAGTGTAGGTGAAGTAACTTACGGCTACGGTTTTGTGAATAATAAATATTCATGGCTGGAGGACTGCGATACTTTTGAATTACGTCTTTCATTGTGAGGTTATGTTGTGATGTTGCGGTGTTAAAAATTTAAATTTCAAATGACCTAGACCCGAACACGAATGATACCTTTTACTTTTCATTTCCTTACGAAATAATGATTATGCTAACGATATTGTGATTAATTTATTGAGTGTGTTTTCATTTTACTTTCGGCTAGCAATTTGATTTTTTTCTGGCGAAGTTGTGAGTTGGATATAAACAGCCCGAGATTTTTAACGATTTATTATGTTGCGTGGGAATATATGATTCTAAATATAATATATGAATGTATTCCAGGTATCATTTTTGAACTGTACTATGACAGATTATTTTGGAGAGTTTCTTATGTACAACCTTTTTATAGTTAGAGTGCCCGCCGGCAAAATTTTAAGAGATTTATACTCTCTTGAAACTTCTTGTACGGCTTCCTTAGACCAAGTTTGCCACAGTTTTCCTCTGTATTTTTTTGGTTCGGGGCCGTTTCGCCCTATATTTTCCGAAACATGACCGTTTCACGACATGTGCAAAAATGATACATACTCTTGCTATATTTATTGAATGGCTTGATTTCAGTGAATAATAAAAGGAAATAATATTCTCTGACGCCATAGATAGGACGGTAGTGTGTCCACCCTCCCAAACTTGACCGAAAAACGGTCAGTGCAAAAATGATAAATAACCAGCTAATTTTTTCTGTATGCCTTGCTTTAACGAAGAAAGAAACGGTTCTTTTATTGTCTGACACCAAGAACAAGCCTTTTTTTCAGTCTGACGCGTAAAACGTGCCCATCTCACGCCATCTCTAAAATGATTAATAACATTTTCTTTCAAACATATTTCTCTTCTAAATTAAATGTTGAGTACATTTCATAACTTGTCTGACATTCAAAATGGAGCATATAGTGTAAAATTTCAAAAAAAACATTTTTTTAAATATAATTATTCAGTAGCACTTGGGCCTAGTGTATGCGTCTATTTTTCAGATTAATTCTTTAATAAAATAGGTGTTTTTTTAAACAGTTATTTGTTACAGCAATCATTGTTTAATTATAAATTAGAATGTTTAAATATTAAATAAATAATAATAAAATAAATAAACGATTGTTTAAAAAACGAAAAAATCATTTTAAAAAATTGAAAAAAATCGTGATGAGTTAGATATTGTTTAATAATTTAATTGTGTACTTTTTAAACATACTTATTGTTCTTTAATTAATTCAATTCCCAAAATATCCTATAATCAGCTGTTCTAGATTTTTTTTGTATTTCGCGCTTCTAAGCACCGGAGAAATTTTACTACGTGTGAGTACGAATCTCAGTAGCCAGACCAACTTTTTGAATTTTTCTCCACCATGATTGTCCGAGATGAAACCTACATCCTTTTATTTTCGCAGATGGATTCACTTTACTTACTGCTGCATGGATCGCTTTTTCGAAATCGGCATACACAACCTTGGGACCAAAATTTAAGTTCAATTTTTGACACTCCGTCTTTAAACAATTTAAGGCAGTCACATATGAGTTTGTTAACTTATATGAAAGCAAAACGAATGCTAACGGCACATAGTGTCAATTTTCGAGTCCGTGAACTGTAAATAGTTGAATAAAAAATTTAGAGCAGTATTTAAAAGTTCCATCAACATAAATTGTTTCTAATTTACTTAAAAATGTTAAGTTAGATACACAAGAAAAAGCAACAAATTTTTTTACCGAATCATTTTTCTACAAAAATTGTTCTTTTTGGTTGGTTGTCATTCCACGGAGTTTAACGAGTCATGTAGTTCCTGCGCGCACTTCGGAATTTGGGAATAACTTGTTTTGTGCCATTATAAATATTTTTTCTAATCAAATGTACATCTTCCACAGTAAGACTTTTATTGCCTGTTTGTTTAATTTCGCTGTGTATCAACTTGAATGGTTTTTCACACAAATCAATCATCCATTGCCTTCCGTTTAACACTATTACTTAATTTTTGCCGGTTTAACACTGTTTTTGATAAACTTTCATAGGTATGGTTATGACTACAAATGCTTTGCAACTTCTTTCTACACACTGCCAACGTTTGATATAACCCCCTCTGTGGCTCAGTGGTAAGAGCGCCTACCTTTAAACCTAAAGGTCGTGAGTTCGAATCTCACCTGGATGGAAATTTTCGTTTATTAAAAAAATTAATAAATGAAAATAATTTCTATCCTTGATCGGTACTCACCGGAGGGACCGTAGACGTTCGGATACAATTAGCGTCTCTTAGCAAAGACAATGACGTCGACTTTGCTAAGTATCAAGACAATTACTCTACACACACACACACACACACACACACACACACTACATTAATAAACTTATCTTGATTGAGACTGGCTGAATGACAATTGTCCAAGCCAAACACACAAAAAAAAACGTTTGATATTATTAGCAAGCATTTTATGGAAGTTATACTTGTAATTGTCAATAACTAACATTGACTTGTCCTTTTCACTTAACATTTCATTTACTTTAGATTTTTACATCATGAACTAGGTATAATGACATTCAAACTGGAACTAAAGTAATAATGTTAAGATTCGCAACACCCCTATTTCTTATCATAACATTTCAGGTAGACTACTAATTATCTACCAATCATTTCAAAGAAATATATCAATTACAACTTCTCATACGGAAAAACCCAATCAAATATTGAACAAGGAAATATGAGCTCTAACGTCATAATACTTTAGTGATATTATCGCTATAATGTTAATATTTTTTTAAGTAAGAAGTAGTGTTATAGAGTAGCATTGTTTAAAACGACTCATTCTTTTTTAAACAATGATGGTAGTGTTGTATTAATAGGTAAATACAAAGTTTGAGAAGACATTATTCAAATATCTTTTCTAAGAAATATATGGCCGGAGCGAATTTACCTATGCCCTTTTCTGTGGGGTATTAAAATCTGACCGCGGGAGCGAACTAGTATATACACCCATTCGTAATAATATTAACTTTTATTCAAATTTTTTTAATTAAAATTTTTTTGATAAATAAACAATTTTATTTTTAACAAATAATTTAAATCATATGCCTCATATTATATAAATTACTCATGTGTTAAAATTTTACAAAGTGTTTCGAGAAACAAAAATTCCTTAATTAATGTTGCAGTTTTAAGTTTTGAAATATGTAATGTACTATAGTCCTTTTCCATCATATTGATAGCACATTATGTATGCAAATCCTCAACAGGTCAAAAAACCATAGGCGTCACCCTATACTTGTTTTGAAATAAATAAAAAAAAATAATATTTTAAGATGCCGTCAACAATTCATTATCTTTTAAAAAATCTTCTGTAAAATAAGTGTCCACTAATCTCACTATACCTTTTTTGTGCGTAAAAAACGTCGGTATATATGCCATACGATTATTGTTAATTATACACGGGTGATTAACGAGAGAATTCAATGTTTCACGAAATAAATTAATGTAAACAGTAATTTAAAGGTGATTATTGTTTTCTATACAAGTTATCACCTGACACAAAAAGAATACCTTCTTTGAACGATTACCTGGAATTACTGATAAGGCTTCACTAATGATAGTTTAAGTAGTTTTTATGCCACATTACAGCTTATGCCAATAATATAAATTAGAAATTGTTTGCATCTTCCATTTAGTTTGTAGATGTACA